CCGTTATTCGTAGCCACCGCTGTGTGTACGTTATCGCGGCCCCGGGTCCTGGCGACGGCCGACACCGAAATTGCACGCGCGTTGTTATTGCACCGCCGGCATCAGTGTTGTAACGCGTTTATATTACGTCACGGCCTTTTACGTCGGGTGCTGTGCGCCTTACAGGCCCACCGCGTCGGGCCGGTGTTCGGTTTCGCGTACGGTGAGTGCCGCCGCGCACGGCTCGCACGCGTCTCTTGCGGAAGGCGCGTAACAGCGCGGAGGAAAATCGATGTCCCACTTTTCCGGGCGACCGCGGAACAACAAGGCCCGTGTTGTGTCACAACCGCCGCCGCCGCCGCCGCCGCAATATTATATTACTACGAGTATACTACGCGCGCCCGCGTGGTTGCGGTCGCGCGCCACCGGCGACGTAATAATCGGAGACGACGCGGCGTGCGGTTTTCGGCGCGACGAGTACCCACCCCCCTAATCATCGTGTGCATCAATAATAATGTATTACAATATGAGACCGTCCGTATGAATTAACGAGACATCCCCCCGACCGACTCGCCGCGTCAAATTGGTCGTTTCCGTTGTTCTACAATATAATTAGTTTATATTTGTTACGGGCAACGTGAAGCCATTGCCCGTGTGATTTTATCCCGTCCCGGTCGATTCGAACCGCGGACATAAACAAAGCGATTGAGTAATTGTTACTTATTATTTCTTAAACATTTCAAAACAATTATGTATAAATGCCCAGGTCGAAGTCATTGCTACAAACAAAGTCTGTCCGTTTGAAACACGCGGTATAAACGTCGCATTATCCGCATGATATCTTTGAATCGAACACTTTTAGCCTTTTGTCCGTTAGCTGGTCATATAATTGGATGTTAAAAGTATAATAACCATGTTGATAGAAACCGTGTAAATCGTGCACAAATCATTAAATGATCATAAAATTCTAAATAGTAATAGATTAGTTAATTTTTCCACAGTGTCATATAATTATTAGTAATAATAAGTTAAAAACTAAAAAAAAAAAGGTGTTTGAATGCTGTTGAGAATGATATGAGGACAGCCGGTGTGTGTGAGGTGGGAGATTGGGCCATGTAAAAGTTTAGAACAAGGGTGGCCGATCCCAAATAGTTGGGATGAAGATGAAGAAGAATTTAGAAGTAAATAATGATAAATATAACACAACAAAATGATTGACTTATTTAACTCGTTTATATTCGTGGTTTAATCGGGCATGATCAAATCGCACCGGATTCACATTTTCCGTAACATGGACCCGGCAGCTACAGGTAAATATTATTATTCCGGTTAGGCGACGATTGGACAGATCACCAGATAACAGATCGAGAATGGCAAAATATGCGAAAAGAAACAAATAATCGAACTAATGAACCGACATGGACACGGGTAATAGAAATCTTATTGTCTCCGAAACCAAATACGGAATACGAAACATGAAAAACGTTTTTGTTTTGATTTTTCCGAATTACTTTGAAAAATTCTTTAGAAAATCAAAAATGACCTCCTTAATACAACAACCAGATCCAAAACTCAACAGAAAAAGGTCTCTTGTCATTTATTTTTTTTCAGAGCAAGATGTCTGGTAGAAAAATTACTCACAGGCACAAAAAATACACACACACACATCATAGTAAAACCAATAGAGCCCTCGCCATGCTCAAAATCTAAACAGACTTTTGGAGTGATGCACGTGCCCCCGATGTCCCCCTGATTATGATATAGTTACGTCGCAACGGTCTATTATTGAACAATTTTAAGGATATTAGACGTCTTAAATGTCTGAAACCATATTATAACTTAGTTTACGAATTTAATGTTTAGATTAAGGACAGGAACCACTTTTTGAAAGTGTTTTATCATCAATGTGCGCAGTATATATTGATATCTAATATTATGTAAAACGTATAGATTATTAAAAATGTTTATCGAAACCTTTAAATCGTTTAAATAATAAAGTCTCGGAGCATTTAAAATAAAATAAAAATAATAATGAGTATTATAAAAAAAAAATTCAATAAATAATATTACGATTGTATAAAACACGATATTTTGAACCTTTTTTTGTGTTATTTGTAGGCACAAATACCCCAAATATTTTATAATATTGCACACTTAGCATTTACTTAATAAGGTCTTGATTTGGTGCTTGGCTGTGTTTTGGGAGAATAAAGCTACCACTTATTTGCGTCATTGAGGTACATCAGGGTATATATTCAGTATGTACAGATTTCGAAGGGCGTAATAGAGAGTAGTTACGGCACTGAATACGATTAAGGTTATTCGAAAATGATAAGGGTATCCTTGTCATCTTTGTCTAACACATACGCAATAAAGGAATATTTTAGGCTAATTTTTTCATCTATTAGTTTACATTTTAGTAGAGTGGTAAAAGTTTTGAAAAAAGATTTGAAAAATTTAGTGTCAAGTGTAGAAATACGTACGTGCGATCGGGCAGACTGACTTTTGTTCAATTTAAGTTTATTATAAAAATTTATAATGAAAAAATAGAATTTAAATGGAATTTTTGGATATGAAGAACAGTAATTCGAAATTATAGACTAGCCGGCCCTGCATGATACACTCGTGCTGAAATGTAAATCTGTTTTCAAAACTTCGGGAAAAAATGGACTAAAAAAATTGGCCTACACTGCTATGTTCTAACACTACAACAAGGAATATAGTAAAAGACTCTTTGTTCCGTTTCATATCCTGAGGCTTAGCTAGAAATATTTTTCTGAGTAACCAAGATAAAATATTTCAATGGGTAAATTAATTAAGGATACTAATACAAATTTTGGATTTAAAATTGTGTTGATTTTCGGAGAAAAGTCTGCCTGTCTACTGGCTACGCCACTGTTTGAATCCCAGATTAAAATGTGAAACTAATAAAAACTGAATTTCACGTTTTGAAAAAAAAAAAAAATGCGCACACGTCAAACTTGAA